CACATGGTTTCAAAAACTATTATGTTACTGAAATTAATTTTTGTCTATTTCAAGGACGAAAAACAAATCTCAAAGTCATGTCAAGCTACATTCGACCCAACATTATTGCAAACACAGACACACCTGATTGGATAACAAAAGAAAAAATTTATAAAAAAGAAAACCTTTAAAATTTGTATGCATCAAAGCCATATGCATTCCAAAGTAGAACACTACTAGCACCAAAAAGAATCAATTTTAAAAAGTTCTATCTGAAGTCCTAGAAGGTCCTAGAAGTGGACTGAAAACATTAGTAATATAATAGTGTTCAAACCTTGTGCAAAGCACAATAAGGTTTGTAGGTTTTATTTATAATTAATGCTTTGTTGTTAGAAGATTAAGATATTTTTATTTCTGAACAACAATGGACATAAATCAATGAGAAATTTCCAACTATTTTTCAAAAGAATGTCATCAAAATTGGTGATAAATTTTATGGCATCCAATATTAAAACTTTCTTTAGATATTTGTTGGGCAGTGATGTTCAATATTTTGATTTTACGTATTTTATTTTCAAAAAGATTAGTTTTCATAGGTATGTAAAAGTAAAAATACAAAATATCACTAGTGCAAACTTTGTAAGACTTAAAATTCCCTTGTGGCAGAGATTTGTAAAAATTTAACAAACTATTTTCTTTAAATAGGATTGTATAGAAATCATTTGTGGCAAGGTCTGGATTAGGATGGTTGGATTAATGGAATAAAACTATGCAACACATGGGCAACCTGCTATGGATGTGCTTCCTGGGAGGAGTTTTTATGGGAACAGGCTCTTATTCCGGTGTTAACACTTGTCTTATCTTCCTACTTTACTTTCAGTTTGGAGGAACTAGTAGTAATTTCTTGCAGACAGATACTTTAGCATCCTATCCTGGCACACTGTACTCACCTGTTTATCTCATGATCCAATTATTTTTTTAATGTTGCCATGTTTGCAGCTCCTTTGTAACAAATGCACAATTGTTTATTGATGACAATGTATTCACTGCACTATTTCACAAGAGGATAAACTTTCAGCATTCAAAGCAACAATTACAGACTTTTTATGTGGTGTTAACTGTCAAAAAAAATCTCCATTTTGCTTGTAAAAGCATATCAACTTCACACAAGTTTTTGTACCAATGGACAGTGTAATTACAGTACCAGAAACTTTGCTCAGTAGACTTTGTCAACTAACGAATATCATTCTCATGTTTATGATGTCATGGATGAATGCAGTTTTTACTGCTTTTTGCAGGTCTGCAACAAAATGACACTTTAATTTAAACAATCCACGAAAAACCTTTTTTTACGAGTGTTATTATTCAACGCAGTGTTAAGTTGTTGGAAGTCGTTTATTTTAATTTAAAATATAAACATACTTTTACAGGATTTTATAGATGATGCAAAAGTAAAATTTTTAAAATAACATTGTGTATATGATATTAGATTTTAAAATTATACAATTAAGCAAAGATATCACATGTTAATTTCAATGTTCCTATTTGAAAATTTCATGTTCATCTATCTTCTCAGCAATGTTAGCAATTTATTAATAAATAAGCACACCTGATTTGTATTTGCCAAGTTAATTTTCTTTATTCAAACGTTTTCGGCCTATTTGTATAGGCCATCTTCAGCCTTTAATGTTGTTTGTTCCAATGGAACCAATAGTTCGAAATTCATTTGAATTTTGAATTTGAACTTTTAACATCTTATGTGTATAAATAAATAGTTAACAATAATATCAAAAACGTGTTGCAACTTAACAATAACATGAAAAAACGTAAATTAAAATAAATATATGATTAAATATAATCTAAAATCGTGTTGCAACTTAACCATGAAAAACAAAAAATATAAAAACAAAAAACAAAAAATTATATCATCTTTAACTGAACTACTAATTCCTAAAAACTCCAGATCATAAAAATGTTTATGGATTATTAAAACCCATACTTTTTTCAATTTTATATTTCCAAGCCGTTGGTAATGCTTTTGCATCTTTTGCATTTAGGCATCTGTCCCTCATCTTACTTTTGTAAATCTCTATTTTTTCCATTTCCATTGCGATGGAAGGTGAGTGCCCCGTCCTAACAATCTTGGCTTCATCCCATTTGANGGACGGGACACTCACCTTCCATCGCAATGGAAATGGAAAAAATAGAGATTTACAAAAGTAAGATGAGGGACAGATGCCTAAATGCAAAAGATGCAAAAGCATTACCAACGGCTTGGAAATATAAAATTGAAAAAAGTATGGGTTTTAATAATCCATAAACATTTTTATGATCTGGAGTTTTTAGGAATTAGTAGTTCAGTTAAAGATGATATAATTTTTTGTTTTTTGTTTTTATATTTTTTGTTTTTCATGGTTAAGTTGCAACAAGATTTTAGATTATATTTAATCATATATTTATTTTAATTTACGTTTTTTCATGTTATTGTTAAGTTGCAACACGTTTTTGATATTATTGTTAACTATTTATTTATACACATAAGATGTTAAAAGTTCAAATTCAAAATTCAAATGAATTTCGAACTATTGGTTCCATTGGAACAAACAACGCTAAAAGCCTGAAGATGGCCTATACAAATAGGCCGAAAACGTTTGAATAAAGAAAATTAACTCGGCAAATACAAATCAGGTGTGTTTATTTATTAATAAATTTCATGTTCATATAATTAAAATTAGTTTGAAGCTGTATCTAGATTGATGTTATAACTTTACTACAGTTTTGTCAAGCAGACAAGTCTACAGATAAAAAAATAATCTTTAAAATAGATTGGAACCATTAAAATATTATAACTTATACTTTATTTTCATGTAACATATCATTTGGCATATACGTGTTATGGGTACATAAGATGTCCTCACTCATTTTAGCACAGAATATTTAGGAAAAAGTATTAAGTATTTAGTGAATTTAAGCCATCCTATGCCTTTGGCACTTGTTTCCTCCTTTTGTTTTAAAAATACTTAGACAATTTTCTTGCACATTTATGATTATTATTAACTTCTTTAATAAGTTCCATTATATATATAGTGGAACTTATGTAAGATATATATATTTCATTAATCTATTTGTTTCTTATTATGGAAAATAGGACCCCTTCAATATATGACAATGGAGCTTTAAAATACATACATAACTTTTAAATACATGCGTGTGCATTCATAACCATAGTTTAGTGATGGTGAGTTCAAATGAAAGAAAATTCAAGATTGTAATCTATACAAAGATTTCCCCAAGTAGAACATTTAGATATAAAGGTAGGAAGTAGGACATATGTCTGCTAGAACAATAGTTTATAGAAGAATATGGATGTAAACTAAAGTTCACACATTTTATTAGGTGAATACTTCAAAAAGTTCATTTTGTATTTACATTTGCAGAAATTGGATTCTGAATCATCAAATGAATTATACCTTAAGACAGTTTTGTAGATGTGTTTCTTTAATAGATTTAGAATGTAAATTAGTTTTAAAAGTGAAAAGAAGTTACAGTATTGTGTAAAGTTTAGTACAGTATCTCAGTAAATTCATTTTAATTTCTGAAGATGGATTTTTGAAAGTTTGAAATGTTTGTTTACTTTGTATTTTCTTAATAAACTCTGATAAAGCAACTAAAAAATAAAATTATTTATAACTTGCAGTTGTTGGTATAGATTTCAAAGTTTTGTAAACATCCTCTATTCCAGTGGTTCCCAATTAGTTTTTCCTGCGTACCACTTCAAGAAAGAGCTCAAATTCGCGTACCCCTTATAGCAGAAATTCATATTAATCCATACTAATATTATAAATTCGAAGATAATGCTGTCTGTCTGTCACCTTTTTATGCCTAAACCGCTGAACAGGTTTTAATAAAATTTGGCACAGAGATAGCTTACTTATATTTTAAATTTCTTTATATGATATCAATTAAAATCTAATTTTTTAAAAATTATTCTTTATATGTATATTGCTTGATTTTCTTAGGCAAAATATACATTATATTTGAAGGTGAGAGTGACAGTTTGTTCACTTTTTAACTCATATTTGCATTTAAGTATTAAAAATAGCTCAAACTGAAAAAATTTTTATCAGCAAGATCAAAGTGTAATTTTAGATTAATTTTAATTTTTTTTTTTCTAATAAGACAAATAATTTGAGTTTTATAGAATATATCACATCTTTAATCTGATCTGTTAAGACAGATCTTCCATTTTTATTAAATGGCTTTCTCAAACAAATATTTCAGAATAATGAATGGAACATGAAAAATAACATCCCAGTAATAATCAATAATAAAATTTTTTAAAAAGATGAAAATTATTTTAAAATGTGTGTATGTAGTGTGTATGTATGTATATATATANTGTTTCTTGCGTAAGAATTTCATTTAGGTATTGTCACAAATGCATTTTTTTGATGAAATTTCGAGAATATTTTTAGTTATTAATAAACGAATTTGTGCATTCGACATCGTGTTGTAAATTGCCGAATTTTTGATGGGCCCCCATTATTTTTTTGATTGCTTCATCTCATGTGTTTAAATTTTAAATCGACCGATTTTAGATTGCCGCGCGTACCCCTTCATGCAATTTCGCGTACCCCTGGGGGTACGCGTACCACTAATTGGGAACCACTGCTCTATTCAGATCCTGTTGCAACTCCACTCATAAAAAATTAAATAGCTGGCCTCAGATTAGATTTTGGTTGACTATTGATCTGAAGCCCAATCATTATATCTATTTGACTGAGAGTCTATTAAGATATTGATTATATAATTTTAAATTTTTAATCTATTCACCATTTTTATCAGTAAGATTTTATATTTTATAAAAAAATTTTTATGAAGTTAAACTTTAATTATTATTTAGTATCATCATGTAAAACTTTCATTATGCAAAACATTATTCAATATCCATATTTAAAGCAATAATTTTATTAGGTGTTATTAAGAATATATTACATTTATAAATTTTAAATTAATTTCAGACAACAATACTATATTTGCAACAGGTGTTTTCACATCTGCTGAATTATATAGGTTATCTAAAGGTTAGTATTTCTAAAAAATATAAATATTGTATTAGTAGTTAATTATAATATGTAATATACAGAAAGGATATTTTTTTATTTAAGAGTGAATACAAAGTTGCAAAGAGTTGTGTCATGCCTGTATATTGTTAAATTCATATTCAATAGATTCACTCTTAAATGAAATAGATTTATTAATATATTCTTAATTATATTGTCAATATATCTATAAATTAATTTATATTTATAAATTTTTACTTAATATGATTTCTCTTTCTTACTTTCAGCATCAATTATGCATCCACTTAATAACAATCAGCCACCATTAAATATGATAAAAATAGAATCGCCAACCTATTATTGCAATAGTTATTCCTCGCCACCTGATCATAGGACATTAACTGCAAGTACAGGAGGACCTATTGTTGGTGTGCCATCTCACAATAATCACGGTCCTCCTCATCATCATCCAGCTAGTCCTACTTTGGAATCTCGTAATATGAATAAAAGACTTCGGAGGATTTCATCGACAGATGACGATTTAGACAAGACATCCGCCGACATAAGTACTTTCTATACACATAGTCCAGCCAATATGCACAGTCATACACCTTGGGGAAATGAAATGGAACATAGTAAGGAAAAAAATGTTACTATTTTATATAATTATAATCAGAAATTTTTTGTTTTCAAAATTAAATAAATAAAATGTGAATTTGATTAAAACTTACTTCAATTGCAAATTTTTAAAATTTATTTTAATTATTTATTATCAACTAAATATAGCATGTAGCAATTCATAAAATAATAAACATTCTTAGATTGAATGAATTGAAAAGTTTTATGATCATTCTCATGATATTTTAACAAACAAGAAATATCACAAATTTATATACAAATGTAATGTATTTTGAACAGAAAAATGTAATAAATAAATAGAATTTTATTTGCTGGAAGATAGATTAGTCTGCTTATATACAAATGGTTTTGCATCTTTGCTATTTCAAGTTAATAATCATTGTTTTTGATTTTAAAATTATAGTATGATTATAATTTTTTCACATTATTATATACGGTGTCCCAAAAGTAGTGCAGAATTTAAATTTTAAAAAGAATATATTATTTATTCATTAATTGGAAAAGTTGGTACATCATTTCAAAGGATAAAGATTGCAATAAAATATGAAATAAAATATCTGACAAATGTCTGCATGACTCTTCTGACACACTCATATTCTTTTGACAAAATTTTCAATTACATTTTCACACAATTGCAGCTCAGTTTTGTTGATAACTTTCAAATTTCTGCTTTCAATTCAGAAATTGTTCTTATTTTAGTGGTATAAACTTTGGACTTTACAAATCCCAGAGTAAAAGTTGCATGGTTTCAGATCACATGATATTGGTGGCCAATTCTGATTGCTGTTGTTGAGATTAGTTGCTCATGAAACTTCTGCTGCAACAACTTGGTTGTTTCATGTGCCTTATGACAGATGGCACCATCCTGCTGGAACTACATGTCACTCAAATCCACGCTGTCCAAATGAGGTCACAAAAACTCTGATATCATTTTTCAGTAATGCACATCACTAACAGTAACTGCATTTTCAACCTCATTTCTGAAGAAATATGGTCCAATCACTCCACCAGTCCAAAATCCACACCAAACTGTGACTCGTTGGGCATGTATTGGTTGTTCTTTGCACAGTCATTTCATTTGGCATATTTCTCTGACCAATACTACCACCATGTAATTTGTGCACAGTTGAAGCAAAACTTCCTCCCTACTTGTAATAAGTTTTGATAATCATTATGTGCACCTCTATTGTATATCTCTTTGTATTAACTAACTGTAATGTATTTATTGCAAGATGTCACTTCATATGGCACTGCCAACTAGTGTTGCCAACAGGCCTGTTTTCACCCAGACAAGCCGATTTTTAAATTCATGGTCTGGATTGATTATTAATTTGTCCAGTTTTCATAGAAATTGTGAAATTATGATGAAACAAAATAAATTTATAAAAGTATTTGCGAGTATTTTATTTTAATGGTTAAAGACTTTAACTTCATACCCCCACCCAAACTTATCCCTAGGCTAAGAGTGACAGAAAATGTACTTTAAAAATTCTAACTTACAAATATCTCTGGCAAATATTAGGTCTGTTCCAACACAAGTCCCTAACTGGTTTAAAACTGGCATATGCATTATTCAGTTCTTGGCTGTAAAATGACATGCCTCATACAGTTTCAAATTCAAACCAGTCAGGGACTTGTGTTGGAACAAACCTATTGTCTGGGTCAGCAATTTTGAAAAATGGCATCACTATTGCCAACCCAATGAGAGAAAAATAGCACAAAATTTAAATTCTGCATTAATTTTGGGACACTATATTAGTTTTTCTAGTCTAATATTACAAATTATTATTAAATCAGTTTTATCAAAAAATGGACTAAGTATTTTGAGAATAAATATAAAAGTGTTAAATTTAACATAATAGTAGAAATTGTTCTTCTTATTTTACTTATATGATTACTTTATCTTCCAATAGTATTATGAATACACATTTCTAATTAGTATTAAAATAAAAACAAGCGATAAAACTTTAAATGGACAAAAAGTAATTCTCTATATAATTTTGATCCTGACTAATGAAATTAAATACATTCTTCTATTTTCAAATTATTTACAAAATTTGAAAAAAAAAAATGGAATTTACAAATAATAATAGAGAGAAAATGAAATATATATAATGATGGAAGCATTTTTTTCTTCTGAAGTTATGGTCCAATCACTCCAATCAAATACACACTAAATTCTATTTTTATGCAATAGATATGTTCTGAAAAGTCCATGTAAAAATACATGTAAAAGATGTCCTTATGGAAAAATAGAAGATTGGATCAACCTTAAAAATAAAAAAATAAAAAAATCAATTAATATAATAGGATGTGTTAAACAAAATATTTCAATTTTAGTTACTAAATCAGGCAGGATAAATGTATCTTACTTATCAGCAAACTTGTATCTTACTTATCTAGCATGTTTTAATAAATTTACCCTTTAAAAAGGGTAAATTTATTAAAACATGTTAGATCAAAACAAATCATCAAATAACAGAGTTGAATCTCTTTCATAGACTATGTTAAATCAAATTTATGTAAAAAAGCCATATAAAAACAGAATTGAGTATATTACAATTTTTCACAGTTAAAGCTTTTAGAATTAGGAAACAATGCATTTTTTTTTTCAAATTTAAATTGTGCATTCAGTATGATAGTTGTAATGTTCAATATTATTATTAGTTAATACATTAGTATTAAAAGAATTGCATTCATACAGAAAATCTTCCAGACATTAAAAGATCATTATTATCAAAATAATGCTATTTCAATAGATAAAGTTTCATTACAACCTGACATTAAAAGATAAACATTTTTGACTTTTTGAGTTTTTAGTTTACATTGTTAATGGTCATAACTTATAATGTTTTTATACATTTTTATAATTGTATTTATTTAAATTCAAAATCAATACATTTATCAATTTATCAAATAGAATATTTTTGCCTAATTTCACCAAAAATATGTTAATTTTTAATGTGTAATTATCAGTTTTAATTGTAATTCATTATCGCTAATATTCATTAAAAGATTTAACAATTTTTAAATTACAGTTTAACTGTTATCCAAATGAAAAAAGAATAATTTAATATGAAAACAGTAAATTTTTGTGATTACTAAATGTTGACTATAAAAATAAAGAATTGTAAAGATTATTTCCATATCAAGATAGGAATCTGAAGAGCAAGGAGTATATAATTTTACTTATTCACAACTGTCAGCACTTAAGAAGTTAGCATCATATCTTAGGTCTTTGTCCCTCAAGATTACTCTCAGATAATGAAAAGAACTGAATGGATCTTAGAGCCAATTGAAGATGTATGCCAAAGAAAAATCTGGCACCCACAGAGACAAATCTGTGTTTTATTACACAGTTGCCAAAGCCTGTCAAAAGAAAATACACAATGTCCCTTTAAACTATTTTATATATTAGAAAAAATTGTTATATTTTACTCTAATTAAGCCATTACTGTGTATTTTGATAATCTTAAATTTATATTCATCTTTGAGTATCATGAATGTTTTACTTTTGTCAATTTTTAATGGAGAGTATTTTTGGCATGAAAATACTATGACTATATAGTTGTGTAAGTTGATTTAAAGTAAATTTAAAATAATAACAATTTTTTAAATACAGATATGTTATAGAAATGTTGTTCTATATTGCTTAGAAATATAAAAGTGAGTTTATGTAGTAGCATAATATTTTAATAATAGAGAAATTCATTCTAAAATCTCATCAGCTTCTTATAAAATCTCACTAATTGCTTGCTGGAGTATGAGGTTGGCCTTATTTTTATAATTGTTATACTGAACATCACATATATATTTAAACAGAGAAGATATAGCATAATTTCAGAAAATAGTTTCAGCATTAAAATTAAGAATTTGATTTTTAAGAGAAATTATCACTGCATAAAGTCAAATGGACAGAATAAATTTATAATTTTTGTTGCAACAGTATTTCATCCTATTATGAGTGTTATTATTGATTTAATATTTTAAATATTATTATTATTAAACATTAGGAATACAGTAATTATATTTTAAATCATTATTTTTTGAGCCTCATATTTGAATTCTTAAATTCCTCCTTTCATTTTGCTATTCTATTTCTCTTTCCTCTTTATGATTTGTAAGTTTATTTATAAATTCTTGCATCACAATATGTTCTCTGGAAATATTTTGTTCTTATCAATTTATTCTCTTTTATACAAATGTAATGTATATTAAGCACTAGATGTACTACTAACTTTTTAGAACATGCAAATTTTTGTCTTAACAAAACAATTAAAAATGGTCCTTTCTTTTTCTTATATATTGAAGTTCTTGTATAATAATAATATACCGGTATGAATTTTACATCTTGTTTGTCGTGTTTTTACTATATGATAATTTTTGTTCAAGGATTTTTTTATTTGTTTATCTATATTGTTCACATTCAGCATTCTTTTCTTAGTAACTGAAGCTCCAGTGGCATGCCATCATTGGAAGCATTGGAAGTGCCACTTCCCTTGTATTTTCTAAAAAATAAATACATATTAAGAGATTATTTTCATATAATTAAAATTAATATTTTATTATAACCTCATTATGTATATTATTACAAATTTCTATACTAAATGTGAAAAAAACGATAAGATTGCTATTGTATATTCAAATATTAGTGGCGGAATGGAAGCGCTGTATTGTCAGCTTACAAACAGCCAGATTATACTCATTCGTGCATGCGCTTTACAGAGCATCAACCTCACCCGGTTTAGCTGGTGGAAGCTACACACATATAACGCTTCCAATGATTCTATCCAGGACCTGTTCTGGGCTGTTAGCTGCCTGCCTGCTAGATATTTGGTTGCCCTCGCTCGATTATGTGAATTGTGAGTAAATTTATAACTTAACCCAACCGATAAGAATTTACTGGTATGTTTTTATGATAGTTCTGTATAGTTGATAGGAGTTTTAAAAAATCCATTAAAATATTTGATATTTTTATTCCGCTCTCCCATCTTAT